TCTTCTTCTTCGTTCTCCTCCTTCCACACTTCTTCTTCTCTCTCCTCGGTCCCTCCTTCTCTGTCCTCCCTTTCTCTCTCCTCCGGTACTCTGTATTAATACTCCGCGGTTATAGCCGTCTTCCTCCTCCATCGGACTCCACGACTCGGCTCATGGGTAAGTGACAACCAATCTCGGATCGCTCATCTCTCTCTCTCTCTCTCTCTCTCTCTCTCTTCCGCCGTAGCGGTATCTTCAGCGCAGCAGGTAAGTAACCAATCTTGTATCACTCATCTCTCTCTCTCGTGGTCTCCTTGTTGCAGGTGCGCGGCTTCTCCTTCCACCTCGAGGTCCGCTGTGGCGGACTACCTCCTCCGGCGGCACTTCAGCTATGGGCGATCGGCCCTGCACACATCGCGCGCATGGAACAGCGGGTACCTCCTCCGATACCAGTGCAATCACACTCTGATTATTCACACTTGTCTTGCATGCAAACAGCGATACAGCAACTAGCGACATGCGTCCTAACAGTACTTAAGATATCGTAACCAGATATGAGTTCTCTTCAACTGGCTATGACGACTGGGCGCCCACACAACTCACTGTTCGCACTCTGGATCACCCTGGATGTCCCACACGCAACACTCAGTATCATACGCAACACACACACACGCTATGCTACAGCTATGGSAGCGCTAGCTGCCACTACCTATCGCTACACTACACTTCTCTGCCCACTTCGTCTTCGGGCACACTGCAGACCTCCTCGCACAAGCTGCTAAGGCAGCGCTTCCGCATGGCATCCGCAGGAATGAAATGAATGGCTGGACGCAACCTCTTGATTTATACTTCTGCGCTGCGTTGGTCTGCCCTGTATCCATGGCCCATGGTGCACACAGTCCCCCCTCCTGGTACTTGCTGGACCGGACTGGTACTTTCTAGACTCTCCCATGACTGCATGGCGACTACCCTACGACGCACTACAGTTGCACTGGGGTCCTACTATTTGCCCTTGCCACTTGTCCTCGTCTCCAACATGGGCTTGCTTTAGTCACACCACTTGCCCACTTGCCTGCACCACTTGACCACTTGCCAACCTTCTAGAAGGACTGCAGCTAGCCTTCTAATCTACAGGTCTACGGATCGAATCCTGGCTTACCTATAGACCTACGACATACCTACCTACCACTGGCGGTTCTACAGGTCGCAGGTTCAACTCTTCGAGTTGACGCAGGTATCGTACACAGGTAAGTTGGGGAACTAGGGATCGAGCCCTGGGATCTGCCTCAGCTACCACGAATTGGTGAATACCGTTTCAAAATTTTTTATTTCAATTTATTTGTGTTTTGTGTATTTGATTTTTCACTCGAGTTATGTACAAAATTTGGCAATGAGTCTCAGGCAAAAGTTGTTTGAAATATCATTTTCCATAACATAGTTTGTTTTCAGATTTGTCCGATGATGTTTTTTTTTTTTTTTTTTTTTTACGTATTCCCACGTACGGGAGTACGTGTACGCGCGTACGTGTCGCGTACAGGAATACGTGTACGCGTGTACGCGCAACCCGCGTACACGTACGCCGTGCAACACAGGTTGGGACTTCGGGTGGAGGATCATCCTCATTAGGAGAGCGGAAATCAGATTGAGAATTTACAGCAATTACAACCGGATTTGAAGTACTTGGATCAGAAGTAGACTGATTTTTTACTGTAGAAGTAGATGGAACAGAAATGGAGATAGTAGAAGTACAATTACTTTCGGAGGTAGAAAATGCAGCACAAGTAGAAGGCACATGGAGAGGCTTTAGAAGAGCTACACGCACATGCTCAGCTTCCTTGCGCCTGCGCACTGATTTGCAGAATTTGTTTGCACTCAAAAGAGTCACAGGGGACTCGCGCATCTCGTCCAATAGAAAGGTACGCTCGTTCCCCTTGGCATCACGCACCACGAACTGATTATCCGTCCACGCGGTCCTTAGACAATGAGCCTTTAACCAGCCCAAGCCAATGACCGCGTCGAAAGGACACTTGTCCATGACAGTGCGATCCTTGTCAAAAGTGACGCGCACACCTTTGACACGTGTTGAGGTGACAACCTCTTGGTTGCCCGCCTGGGTCTGACAAGGGTTCTGCAATTCCACTTGCTTCATTCCCAGGCCCGCCTTACGAATCCCGTTAGGAGAAAAAAAGTTAGTCGTTGAGCCATTATCAATCAGCACACGGATGTATCGGCGGTTAATGAGCAGCTTAAAGAAGATCAATTCTACACTCCCTTGAGCACAGCGTTGCTGCTTGAGCTGCAGCCAATGTTCCAGGTGAGAGTGGAAGTGGACTTCCTTAGTCTCCTTCCAAGGCTCAGTGTACTGTACTTGAACTGCAGCAACCTTGGATTCAGCATCGGTCCGGGCTTCAAGAGCAGGCTGTTGATCAGATTCAGGCTCCTTGGAGGGGCCTGCAACTGACTATTCAACTTCCCTTGTTGTAGAGAGTGCTGATGACTCTTCTACGCCCTTTGCCTGTTTCCCTGCAGACGATAACAGTCCTGCACAGGCTTTTGGCAATGCAAGCACACGCGCAGTTTGGATCTCGTGACGAGGGCCTCCCTACACCCCTGTTACAACACCGAATCCCTCGTCGATGTCTGAAGACCAAAGTAGCAACTTGCAGCTCTTCGATGCAGATATGGCAGCCTCTAATCAAGTCTCGCTCTTGAGGGGAAGCCCAAAAGTCAATGTCTTCTTGAAGTGTAGATTCCAGGTGCGAGTACCTCTCACTCTCTACTCCCTCTCGCTTACTCCAATCAGCCTCCTTTGTGTCTCGCCACCCCATCCAATCACACAAGCAACCTGGCCAGGTCTGATGTCGACCCTACATGACCTAAACAGGTGGGGGCAGTATCCACATACCTCACTGCCCCTCTTAACCCTAACTTCCCAACCCTAATCCGAGATTAGGTTAGCCCTAAACCTAATTTTAGGGTGAGTAACACCTCTCGCCAGCAAGCAAGTCCGCTCTGATACCAATTATTACGATCCTGGTCATTCTCAAAGTGCAAATTCACAATGAAAGACAATGCCACCCACTTGCAAAGAGATAGAGACCAAAGAAGAGAGAAAGAAGAAGAAGAAGAAGAAGAAGAAGAAGAAGAAGAAGAAGAAGAAGAAGAAGAAGATGTACACCAGCAAGACCAATGACAAATCCCCCCTTCTCTCTCCACCTTCCTCGTCCTCCTTCACTTCGCCACTCTTATTCTTCTTCCAATAATAATATTAACAATGAGTGGATGAACCAGAATCAATATCCGAAGTTCCCTCTTACTGCTGACACAAGAACAACAACAACATGTCCACCATAGCTATGGCTTCCCCCCCTTCTTCCACCTCTCACAAGCCTAGGCTATGGCAGACTACGGAGGGCCGTGCCCTCCTGTCCAAAGGACAACCCAACGCAGCTATGGCGCTACACTCTGGTCCAGAGGACAACCCAAAACAGCTATGCCGCTGCTGACTAAGCCGCCATGCCCGACTCTGCTTCGAGCTTCCTTGGTGCAGCACTACCCCAACTGGGGCCTTCCAGATGCAGCGCCCAACAAGGTGATGAAGATGGTGTCCACCATAGCCAGGTAGGTGCCTCGCCACTCTCCTCCTTCGCCCCCTTCTTCCTCCTCCTCAAGTTGGGCTGCTCGCCATAGCCAGGCTGAGTGCCCAGCTGCCCTT